CATTCAAGCTGCCTTGAATTTTCCACTCAGCAAGACATTTGTGTGAAGGCAACAATGTCAGAGTGCTACAGGCATTAGCAAAAATAGAATCTCTTCAACATCGGATTGAGAAAGTAAACCCAGAATAATACTGGAAGGATGAGATCAACTGAGCATTTCTAACTTTACATCAGATTTCATAACTTTGCAGATATATTTCTCCTTTCTCTTTTCCCCCCAGTAAGTTTATTGATCCGGAACACGCAAATGTAGTGAACCAAACTGCACCCATCGCATCACTAACCATAATATACAGGATATCTGTACTGTTGTGATGCACATCATATTGCGGTAGTATGTTTCAGTGTCTGCTGAAAGCAGTGAATAAAATAGTATATTGCAACCCCTTGGTTTACATTGCATTCCACTCTAACATAGCTGTTCATCTATAATAGTCAGCACTTGCGTATTGCACTTAAATCTAAATCAGTGTTTTGTGTATCACGATGCATGCAATTTTATTTGTTTTTAAATGCTGTAGAAACTGACTTGCTGAGAGGCAAACAGTGAAGCTTGGCTTGCATAAACTAACGGACATCTCACAACACATTGCTTCATATTCCTCAGGTTTGTTAACGTTTATATTTTTCTTTCCATTCGAGTTGATGCATACATCCTCACTTTCTGAAGGTTTAACTTGAAAATAATAATAATCCTTGCATTTGATATAACACCTTTCAAGTCAGGAGGACGCCTCAAAGTCCTCATTGTTAGACCTTTCTCAACCTCCTGTGCTCCATATAAAAATAGGCTGAGTTCATCCAGTTTTTGCTCATAGGTCAAACCACTCATCCCTGATATCCTAGTAAATATTCCTTAGGTATGGCTTGGAAGAACTAGGCAGTTTGGGATCTAAGGTTCCCAAAGCTTTCCACTCTGTTGTAGATTAATCCATACGGAATTAATTGCTATCGGCATTTCCATTATTGTAGCATGTGAGAACCAGGATTGTAGAAGACCAACTCGATGGACCTCGGTATCTTATCATCTACAATTCCTATGTTACTATTTCATCTGCAGATTCTCTATGGCCTTGACATCCTTCCTAAAGTGGGGATAACAAAACTGGACACCATACATTAATTGTGATCTCACCATGGATTTACACAAGTTAAGCATCATCTGGTTTAAATATTTTGATGTTTGCCAAATCCATTGATGGTTGTTTCCATCTGGGCCCTGAGCTAAAATTTCCCATCTCTGAGAAGGACTTGAATATTTTTAAAACAAAAATATTAATATTTACATTTGGTACAGCGCCTTTGACGTCGGGAAGGACAGCCTGTAAAGGGTACACTGTAAAGTGCAGTGACTGTGTGTCTTGTGGAGGATGGGGTGTATGTGGGGGTGGGTTGGGGGTGTCTCTGTGGGGAAAATAATGATTATCTTGCTTGCTGTTTGGAATAAGTGTCAATGGTGTGTTTGAGGTTAAATTGTTGGGATTGGATGAGATGGAGAAAACCAATTTCTCTTTGACCATAAAGGGAAAGGATCTGGTTTAGTTAACCAGAATCTGCCCTGAGAAGGTAGATGCTGCCCTTGGGAAACGAAAGGCTGAAACTCGAGTCAATCTTTAGGAGAAGGAAAATAGGCAGACAATTAGGTTGCTTCTCAAAGTAAAGGTAGAATATTTTTGCTTTCAGCCACCCTTCTGTCTTCCGACTTTTTGCGCTGATGCAAAGAAACAAAAGGTAACCTGCCTTCCAAACAGAGCCTCAATCCAGACAGTGCCTAGATTGGTAAGAGGAACTGACACAGGCGTGAGCGAGCCTTAAGTAATCCCAGGCAAAAGATAGTACGCAAGATAGTCTCTGTCCAACTTAATTTTTCTAGAAGAGAGAGATAAAATTATTCTGCAGTGCATGAGGATGATGCAAGTATAATGCTCTCAACGTTGCAGCTGGGTAGAACCTGAATATGCTTTCAGGGGGTAATAATCCCTTCAAAAAATGAATAACTTGTTCACTCAATGACTTTGGTCAAGACGGCTTGTGGGAAACTGCTGTGCGCATTTGCTGTTTGCACAAAATATACAATCAATTCACTTTACAGTGTATTCTGTGAAACGATTTGAGATGTTTCAATGACGTGATAAGGCGCTATATCAAATGCAAGGATTATTAATATTATGATGATGCAGATATAATGCTCTGCACTTAGTAGCTGGGTAGAATCTGAATAAGCTTTCCTCTCTTGCCCCAGATTATGGAACTTTATGCACAGCTCTTGCAGCCCAGCAGCATGAATTTCAAAACACTTTGCCGAAGAAAATGTCTCAAAGCACTTCACAGGATATACTGCAAGGTGAGTTGACTATATATTTTGTAGGAGAAACACGGCAGTCAATTGCACACAGCAGTGTCCCACAAACGGTCGTGGATTGAGTGACCAAATTTTTTTAAAGGGGTTATTACCCCAGAAAAGCAATCCGCCAATCGGCTAACAACCAGTTTCCTACTTACTGCTAGGTAAATAGAGGCTTGTGGAGTAAGGAAACTTGCCCAACGTTTCGTCCTGCCAGGAATCAAACCCAGGTCCCCTTGCTTGCCTGGCAAGTACTCTAAACAATACGCTACAGATGATTAGAGTGAAGTGTACCTAACTATACGTAGTCAATAATAATAATAATCCTTGCATTTGATATAGCGCTTTTCATGTCGGGAGGACGTCCCAAAGCGCTTCACAGAACACACTGTAAAGTGAATTGACTGTATATTTGTGGGCGAACGCGGCAGCCAATTGCGCACAGCAATGTCCCACAAACAGTTGTAGATTGAAAATGACCAATTTTATTATTGTTTTTGGTTTTGGAGGGATTATTATTAGGCTCTGTGTGGAGTAAGGAAACTTGCCCGAGGTTTCGCCCTCTGCCTGGAATTGAACCCAGGTCTCTCACTTGCAAAGCGAGTGCTCTAACCACTGAGCTACAGGACTCCACAAAGTAAGGCATTACTTTGACCAACCTCCAATATGACGTCTTTATAAGTGGTCTTAACTGTTGGGTTTATTTTCTTCTTATCCACAGTTAAATTGTCAACCAGTTATCTGCCAAGACTTCCAGAGAGATTTATAGTAAAAACTGGTGAATGGGTTTGCCTGTCTCTTGGTTGCCATTAGTAAATTATATTGCTCCATGACTGTCGAGTTTATTTTAGTGATGTATATTGCAACCCCCTGGTTTACATTGCATTAAAGCCCACTCTAACATAGCTGTTAACTATAATAGTCAGCACTTGTGAATTGCATTTAAATCTAAATCAGTATTTGTGTATCATGATGCATGCAATTTATTTGTTTTTAAATGCTAAAGGCTTGAAACTGACTCACTGAGAGGCAAAAAGTGAAGCTTGCCTTGTATAAACTATTGGACATTTACATGATTCTGTTGACTTATGTCTAAATATCGATGGAAGTCCAGCGTTTTAAAAGTGCTGTGCTAGGATTTGCATTGATGACTTTCCTGAATGCATTTTGTCTTACATTGGGTTCAATATTAGCTGTTAATTTAGAAATCCTCTTCCCTATGAGTGTAACATTTTACTGGAATAATAATGGGCAAATAAATATCCTCTCAAATGTGCCTTGTTTGGACGTTTAAGAAAAACAAGATATTAACACTCATTACTACCTATGCACACAGATTTATGGTTAATATTTAAGCTTTCAAAATATTAAGCAATGTTCTCCTATAAATTGCTTTAAGAAACTGAAACAAAGGGAAGAACTGAAATAATGGATAATTCTCAGGCTACAAACTACAACACGACAAGGGAGGTTTGGTTGAAAAAGGCCATTTGATCTCAAATGGAAGGAAAATTTGAAACGTTAATAAACCTGAGGAATATGAAGCAATGTATTCCTAACGTGTAGGTTTCCTACTACAAACAGATCCAAACAATAAGTTTAATAACAACAAATTACATTTATGTAGCGCCTTTCAAGTCGGAAAGACATCGCAAGGCGCTGGACAGTTAAGAGTTTGCACCCGAGCTGGGGGTTGGAATCAAGAGGAGTGGAGGGCAAGGGAAGTGGGGGTGGGAGTGGGCCAAAAGCACGTCAAAGAGGAAGGTCTTGTGATTGTCCTTGAACGAGGCAAGGGAGGGGGGTGAGACGGAGGGATTTGGGGATGAAGTTCCAGAGGGTGGGGGCATAAAAGCTGAAGGCCCGACCACCAATGGTGGGGCAGGCAGAGCGGGGGATACGGAGCAGGCCATTGCAGCCAAACGGTGGGAGCAGACAGGTTGGGACAGCTGTTAAGAGATCGAAGAGGAGGTAGAGGGGAACATGACGGTGGAGGGCTTTAAACGCGAGGACGAGGATTTAATAGTCCAGGCACATCAGAAATAACATAACCTGTCTTCCCCTTTCGCATACCAATCGACCCGTTGTCAACTGAGCATTTCTAACTTTATATCAGATTTCAAACCTTTGCAGGTATTTTTCTCCTTTCTCTTTTCCCCCCAGAAAGCTTATTGATCGGGAACACGCAAATGCAGTGAAGCAAACTGCACCCATCGCATCGCTAAATATAATATATAGGATATTTGTACAGTTGTGATATACATTATCTTGGAGTAGCATTTTTCAGTGTCTGCTGCAAGAGTGAATAAAATTCAAGCTGGTCTCACTCCATTGAGCCTAAACATGGTGCTGTTCACAACTCCCTTAGCTACATTTCCAGATGCACAGAAATATTGATTGCAACTCCACTAATCTTTGCATACAATGCAACGTACCTCATCTAATGAATGTATAAAGTACCCATTAACCTGCAAGTGCAGGTCCATGTTGAGAGAGTTTTAGCTACACTAGATTCTACGATAAATTTGCATCTCCTGTGATCCATTAATCTGCACACAAGAGTACACTCCTTGTACCTCACCAACTTTTTTTCCCAACCTGAAGTACATACAATTCAAGCTAATGAGGCAGAAAATACAGCAACAACCATTTCTACTTACCGTGTAGGTAATAACAGCCAGCATTCCAATCAAGGTCAAGGTACTTATGGAGAACGATAAGGCAGCCAGGCCACCTGCAAATACATGAAAGGTAATTGTAGATAGTTCCGATGCAGCTCATTTTCTCTCATCCCACCACGGCCTGCGCAGAGCAAGTTTAAATAACTGCTGCATTCGGGCTGAGATGCAAAACTGATGGATGGAAGTGTGCTGAAAAAATAGACAGTTTGTTGTAAGGTTAAAGATTTAATAGGACAGATATTTACATTATGCACTTGAGAATTTTTGATAGCTTTGCGTTATTGATATTTCTGGCTATTTTGGAAGCAGTTCAATTCGGACGTAACCTGATAGATACTTGGTTGGGGGGAGGGCGGTTATGGAAGGAAAGTGGGTTGAATCCAAAGTCTTGGTAAGCACACCTATGTGTATAAATTCAATCCCTTCCAAGTTGTTGCCGTTGTTTAATGGCAAGCTATGCGGTTTTAGCTGGTTAGACTCCAGCAGTCACCCCAACGCACACTCTGGGATCCCCAAACCTTGGCTCTTGCAAATCTGTGTCTAATACTCTCAGGAGTTAGGTCAGCAGGATGTGTCCCTCCACGAGAGAGTGCACATTTCATCCATTCCAACAATCTATCTCTGGGATTTCCATGTGTAGGTGGGATGCATGGAATTCTCAGCTTGGTTTGGATAGTCTTAAGTACGGTGATGGGTTTCCGAATGTGTCAGACACCAGGCTGAAGAAAATGAATTTATCCCCTCGCCTCCCTAGCTTGGATGCAAACTGTAGATTGTCTGGCACTTGGGACACCTTCCCGATGTGAAAGGCACTATGTAAATGCAAATTTGTTGTTGTAATTTGTGTCAATCTTGTTACTTCTAAGCAAATCCAACTACTATAATAATGATGAATAATAATCCTTGTATTTGATATCACATCGTTGAAATGTCTCAAAGCGCTTCACAGTGAAAAGTGTAAAGTGATATAATTGTAAAGTGAATTGACTGTATTTTGGGGCTGAAACTCGGCTGCCAATTGTGCACAGCAGTGTCCCATAAACAGTCGTGGATTGAATGACTTGATTGGCTAATCTTAAATACAAACCTTTTCTTTACAATATCTTCAAAATCATTTATAATGAACGAAGTGGGTTCAAAGACCAACTCCCAAGGATTTACTGAAAAGGTTACTTTTTCTTTTGAAGTCCTCTACACAACATTCTGCTGCATTCTTAAATTACTGAAATGGTGCCCAGTCATATATGTTCAAAAGGGGAATGAGGTCAGTCATCAATGGCCTTTTCACAGCGTGCTGCTTTTTAATTATTTTTTTTAAATTAAAATCCATTATAAAATGCATGGAAACCAAAGGGGCTGATTTGGATCCTCAATGCAAAACTCAGCTTAACGGAACTGGCAATTTTCAATGCTCAGATGTGACTATCTGAGCTAATGAGACAGTCAAGCAGAACCATTCCACTATCACCACCATAGATCCTTTTTACTGTCACTTTTGACATGTTTTGAACAATTTCAAAACACACAAGTTCTGACATCAGGAAAGCTGAAGTTAAAAGTTAGCGATAACACAAGAGGGAATCATCACAAGGTAGTTATTATCCCAGGATGTTTCAAACATGTCACTTTAATGGTTTTATTTCGACAACCACAAGAGTTGACTTCTATTAAATTCCTCAAAGTTAGCAAATTCCATCAGCACCTCAAAAGAAATTAAAATTGAATTTGATAACTTTTGATTTTATAATGGATTTTTAAAAATCTGCAAAGCATAATTCCCCAACCCTAACAAGAATTGTACATTGATCCATGACTGCCTGTGGGACACTCCTGTGCGCAATTGGCTGCCTACAAAATCTACAGTCACTTCACTCAACAGTATATTCTGAAGGGCTTTGAGACATCTCAACGATGTGATAAAGCGTTATAGCAAATGCAAGGATTATTATCACATTAGAATTCAGTCATGAAGTGCATCCTCATAACATTGGTTTGCTAATAAGGCAAGTGCTCTGTGGACCTGCTAGTTTTATGCACGGACTGAACAGAACGGCAAACAAATGCCTTACGAGCTCAGCAGGCTGTCACTGATGTCCTATGCATGCTTATGCACAGAAGTGCCATCTCAGCAAGTTATGAGTGTGTACTTTGCACAAGAATCACGACTAACATCCTGCTCTGTGCCAGACAAATCTAGCAAGTGATTCTGAGATCGATTATCATCATTATTGCGGTGACTTAGCATCTCTTTAGGGCCCTAAACTGTCAGCTCCAGCACGTTCAGGATTATGGAGATCTCTTCTTATCGACATGGACTGATCAATTCCTAGGAGAAAGAGCAAAAGACCCTTATCCACACCCTCATCTAAATATGTGAGAAGGACCACTTTGCAGCATTTTTAGCTGAACAAAAATACTAATATGTGAACTGTTCTTCATACTTCTGCCTAAAGGTTATTTAAGTAAGTTTAGACGTTATGGTATCACAGAATTCAGCAATGTTTAGATTAAAATCGATAGGTAAGGATATTTGACAATTAATGCTTGATAACCTTTAATAAGACTTATGTCGGTACAGACTAGCTGTTCCTAATGGCCTGTTTCCAAGCCCATCTCTCACCATGTAACGATTTGTAGAAGATACTTGAAAGCATCGACAGTTTTGCTCATGTTAATTATTAGAGATGTGGATCAAAGGATGGCACCAGGTTAATCCCCAAAGGACTGTCTCCAGCAGAGCATTGATGGGCTAATTCTTTCTTCTGTGTTGTAATTGCTCTAACTTGGGAAGACGAACTGACTTAAAATTCCTTTCTATTAGTTGACATCTCCAGATGAATTTATTGCAATGATACGTTAAAGAACCCAAGTCTTAATTTGGGTACAATTCGAGGGGCACATGGAAACATTTGCATTGCAGTGGCTTTGAAGAATTTAGTAATGAACTCCATTTCTTCTCACAGAGATCCGAAGATTCTGATGGTCCTATCGTTAGTTAGTTTTACTATTATGTACCTATGCATTTTTAAACACATATTTAGGCTTTCAGAACAGATCTCCATTACGATCTGCTTTTTATAATATAAATTCATTACCAACAGGTGGTCAGCTTGCTGCACGTTAAAAGAAATGGCCAATTTCAGACATTAGGTCGACACCAACATCACTTGCATACACAACAACAACAGATTACATTTGTATAGCGCCTTTCACATCGGCAGGACGTCCCAAGCTGCTGGGAAGAGAGATTGGCAATGACCTGGAAATTAGCCAACTTTCAGTAAGGAAGCAGGCATGCACAGATGTCAGTAGTGTAGGATCAGAGACTTCACCATGTGGAAGCAATGATCAGTGATTGCACCTTTTATAAGGCAGTTGGGAATTCTGTGGACACCACCCTCCCCCTCAGCTCCAAGCTTCTGAGTTATAACAACAACAATTTGTGTTTATATAGCACAACCTGAAGATGGGGAAGGAAGGGGCAAGGAGGAGGGAGAGTGTTCCAGAGTTGCGGTCTTTGGTGGTTGATAACATGACTACTGATGGGCACGAGGGACAAGCAGGAGATTGGAGGCAGAGGCAACAGGTTGCGGTTGGGGAGGTGCCAGGGCATGAGGGGATTTGAAGATGAGTGTGAGGATCTTGGAATTGATCTGTTTGGTGATAGCAAGCCAGTAGTGCCTGGCTAGAACTGGTGTGATGGGGTACGGGGGTTGGCGTATATGAGTAATGCGGGCGGTGCAGATTTGAATTAACTAGCGGATAGTGAAGCTGGGGAGACCAGTGAGGAGGACATTTGAGTAGTGTTTAGTAGAATAACTGGGTTCTACTTCAGTAATGCATGTTGGTAAACATTTTTTTTCTGCAAATTATTCAGTTTTGTTGAAGTTTATGAAGAGTGTTCTACTTACGACTGCTTCCTAGTTCCTCAAATAAAAATTTCACCTTCTCCCATTCTGTGGAATTCTGATTGGTAGGAATATTCAAAGGAACGAAGGCACTGCAATTTAATAGAAAAAAGATTTATAGATATTGCAGTAAGTCTACTTTCCACCCTACACAATAAATGATTTATTTTTAGGTTAATACATACTGCATTAATGTCTCAGCTTCAATGCCCTGTCCCTTTTAATAAAGAGTGTGAAATTCACTTATTTGCCAATAATGCTGCAGTAGAGCCTCCAGGCTTGTTAAAACTATATTTTACATAAATAATTTCCGCAAAATGAGGCAACCAATTGCGCACAGCCGTGTTCCACAGCCGCAGTCATGGATTGATTGAGTGACCTTTTCTTTAAAGGGATTATTACCCTTGAAAAATTGATCCACCACCAACAACCGGGTTCCTACTTAGTGCTGGGTAAACAGAGGCGTGCGGAGTAAGGAAACTTGCCTAAGGTTTCGCCATACCCAGGAATTGAACCCGGGTCCTCTCGCTTGTGAAGCGATCACTCTAACCAATACACTACAGGACTCCACAAAACCAGCTATATTCCATTTGCCGGCTACGTTCCAGCTGATACCGAGACACTAAGCAACAACCTCCTTTTGTAACTAGGACATTTCAAGGCCATTAATACCGTTGATGAAGCTCTCCAGTCCCTCTCCCTCAATCAACACAATTCCACTGGTAAAATGCTGCATCTATGTTTACATGACTTTCGTACTCTATTTGCTAAATAGGATACTGTGGCTTTCCAGGTTTTAACGAGAAACTCCCATTTGTGAGATATTCTGAAGATAATTGGAACCTGTGTTTATTCTCTATTATACCCTTGGGGTTTCTAATAAAGTCTCCTCTCTAGTTTTAACAGCTGGTCCAGCAAGCAAACCTTTGTTGCTTATGATGTGGAGGTTATAGCTTATCTATGCTCTGCCCTTGCAGAGCTGCACAACCCCTAAAGGCTATTAATTGCTCCACTTGCACCAATCTGCTGGATTTTGAGCAGTCTGTCCTACTACATCAAAGTCTTTTTGCGATAATGAATACTGTGACAGAGTACAAGTTTATGGATAAATTGACAAGCAGTCCTGTAAACTAGCAGTGAATATAGTATGTGGAATAGGCATGGAGTTCTTGCAAATTTCCCTTATTTTGAACAACAGCCATCAGATTACACTTTAAATTAATAAGAAACACAAATATGATTTACAGATAGAAAACTTCTGCAAATGCAACAGACAGCAAACACATTTAAATAATGCAAAAATTCCTTGCATTTGATACAGCGCCTTATCACATCTTCAACTCGTCTCAAAGCGCTTCACAGAATATACTGTAAAGTGAATTGACTGTATATTTTGTGAGTGAAACTCTGCAACAAATTGCGCACAGCAATGTCCCACAAACAGTCGTGGATTGAGCGACCAATTATTTTTAAAAAAAAACCTTTATTTTTATTATTCCACAAACACACAATGTTGAGGACAAAGATGTGACATTGAACTCCACAGAGATGATAAACAGATTGGCTCACTACATTTAAGATATTTAATCGAGTGGCTTGAGAGAGACATATTGTAGGATTTTCCTCTTTGTTTTGTTTTATTTACATTGTGACCAATTCCGAGCTCCAATATTGAGTCCACAATGGATCAATTATCCTTTGTAAGAATGTCATAGTATGTTCACATAGCATCTGGTCTCGGAGGGCTCTATAACTCGATAATCAGTTTTCCAGTTTACACATTGATGCATCAAAGGCAATTTAATGAGCTGTATTAAGATGTGAACTGTAGAAAAAAAACACACCGGTCACGTTTCAGTCACAAAATGTCAATATCTTCCTTGCCAAAACTAAGTGCACAGCATTTCTTGGGCTATGTAAACAATATCTGAACACGCTTTTAAGAGTTTCAGCACAGGTCCTATTGATTTATTGAAACCTGCTTAAATCCAGCTGATCAATAACTTAAGTTATTGCAAGCAATTCCAGTGAATTATTTAGTCCACCTACCGCTCAGCAAATTGAATCCTAGATCTTCTCCTCCCACACACTTTTTCAATCATCTCAATTATTGCTAAATCGTTTTCGTCCTTGTCAATATATGTGCCCAAACAGCCATCACTTTTATTTGCACTGAAGTGAACGATGCCCTTTGTCCAAGGGTATTCTGCCCCTTTACCCCGCATCTCTCCTTTGCATTAAACTTCGGAGCCTGAGCTAGCAAAAGTAGCAAACAGTGCACAGCGCACACAGCCATGACATGGTCACGCAAATTACTTTTTTCCCATGAAGGGTAGTGAAAATCTGTAACAGTTTCCCCCAAAAGGTTGTGGATGTTGGATCTATTCAAATTTTCAAGACTGAGGTGGATAGATTTGTTAAATCAGGGTATCAAGAGATATGGGGCAAAGGTGGGTAACTGGAGTTGAGGTACAGATCAGCCACGATCTTATATGGGATGACCAAAAAGTTTTATTTTTCAGCTACCTTATTATTTTTAAAAAATCATTCCTTTAAGACTTGTGGACGTTGTAATGATATCATGACTTTTTGGTCACCCTGTAGAATGGCGGAACAGGCTCGAGGGGCTGAATGGCATAGTCCTGTTCCTATGTGGAACAACTGAAAGTGGCATATAACAAGGCTGACGCCCCAAAACAGTGCTCAGAACGTGCCATATTCTCGGTGGTGCCAGTCTTTGGGTTAGACATTGACGTTGCCTGTTCAGGTTCACATTAAAGATCACATGGTCCACAAATATACAGTCAATATACGATTTCGCCTACGAATATACAATCAATTCACTTTACAGTATATTCTGTGAAGCGCTTTGAGACGTCTTGAAGATGTGAAAAGCGCTATATCAAATGCAAGGATTATTATTATTATGGCACTATTTGAAAAGAAAAGGGAGTTCATCCCCGGTAGCCTGACCAATATTCTCCCTGATGAAATTGGTCATTCATCTCATTCGTGTGTGGGACATTGCTATGCCACATTTTGGTCGCCACATTTACCTACAAATACAGTTGCACTACTCTTTACTGAAACTTTGTGAAGTGAATTAAGACGTTCGTCATTCCAGGTGCTATTATCAAATACAACAATTATTTCTATGGCATTAAAAAGTAGAGCTGGCGATCAACTAAAACTAGATCTGTCTGGCAACTTTTCCCACAAACATTTTGCTGTCCATCACAAATAATTGATGTTCTCTGCAGGGCCTTTTCACAATCCATACACCATAAATGAAGCTAAGTCTTGTTGCAATCATTTGTATATTTTACTTATATTCTTCAGTGAATTTTAATGTAGGGCATGCCATAAGAATATTTAGTCATTTAAGTTTTTTTGTACTACTTCTTTAGGTTTCAGTAAGTATTCAACTCAAGTCCATTTTGACACAACTGAAAATGACCTCCACAGTAAAAGCATTCCAACATAGGAATGCAAAGCAAGTTCAGAGGTGTGAGTTCTTTGCAAAACGACTGCACTTATAATAATAAGAAGAATCCTTGCATTTGATAATTCACTACAATGTTGAAATAATAATAATGAGCAATCCTTGCATTTGATATAGCCCCTTATCATGTCGTTGAGACGTCTCAAAGTGCTTCATAAAATATCCCGTAAAGTGGATTTTCTGTGTATTTTGTGCGAGAAACGAGGCAACCAATTGTGCACAGCAGTTTAAAAAGAGTTAAAAGTGTAAAAAAAGTTAAAACAGTACATTCAATAAGTTCGCAGGCCACTCTACAAAACTGGGTCTAATGTGGACTCCTTCAATATTAAAAAATCTTAATAATTAATAACAATAATTTAGTAACTCAGCTGCCACCAATTTTTCGTTTTCAAGTACCAATTCCCTTTTGAAAGCTACTATTGAATCTGCTTCCACCTCCCTTTCAGGCAGTGCATTCCAAGTGCATTTCACTTTAGAGAAAATTTGCTAGGATGCTCAGGCACACACACACAAGCAGCATTGGCAGAAACATGAAAAAGATCTATACCTTTGTGGGAAAGGAGAGGAAGAAACCAAGAGACAGAAAAAAAACCTTAATACAGGCTTTAAGATAAATGATACTTTATATTTTTCGAAATAGCTTGTGCTGAAAACTCTGTACCCTTGGAATGTGCATTTAAAAAAAAGGACATCTGTGCACTCACAGTGTGAAGCCTTCTATAATCACAATGCTGGACTGGAAATGGCAGAGTGTGGTTAATACCCTTATGCTCAACACCTGCTGCATTGTGTCCAGAGACGTGAAACAGGGCACCACTGGACCATGCCAGCTCTTCACCTTAAAAATAACAAATGGTGTGACAAAACATGATAGATAATTCTCGCCTACTTAAGTCCCATCCTTCCCAAAATAGTACTGATTTATTAGATTGCAGAGTCTGTGTGGCAGAAGGTTCTTTTTTCCGTAATGTGGTTACAACTCAAAGTTCATTAAGCAATCATCCTCCTTTCCCGAAAGAATCCATGTGCTGCATGAAAGGGCAAAATAAAGGCTTTCTTCCTTTTTTAAAAAAAACCTTTAAATTATTTCTCTCTTCCCTCTCCCTCCTGGAACGAGTCTGATCAACATGTATTTTAATAATAATAATCCTTGCATTTGATCCAGCGTCTTACCATGTCTTCCAGACATCTCAAAGGGCATCACAGAATATACCGTGAAGTGAATTTTGTGGGAAGAACGAGGCACTAATTGTGCACAAATAGTCGTGGACTGATTGACAAAATTATTATTATTTTTTTTTGAACGGATTATTTCCCCGGAAAAGCAATTTGCCAATCGACTAGCAACCGGGTGCCTACTTACTGCTAGGTAAACAGAGGCGTGTGGAGTAAGGAAACTTGCCTTAACGCTTCGCCCCAACCAGGTATCAAACCCAGGTCCTCTGGCTTGTGAGGCAAGCACTCTAACTACTGTGCTACAGGACTCCACTGTGACCCGTTCACACAAGAAAATATGTCAAAGCACTTTACATGGACACAGAGCAAGGTGGAAAGCAGAGATGATCGAAAAGGTACTTTCTTTTAAGAAGA